GCTGGATAGCTTTATGGTCAACTTGACATACCTGGGTTGAGGGAGCCTCAACTGGGGAATGTCCTCCATTGGACTGGCCTGTGGCCATGTCCATGGGGCACCTTCTTGATTGTTGAGTGATGTGGGAGGGCCCAGCGCACTGTGGGTAGTGCCAACCACGGGCAGGTGGGCCTGTCTTGCATAAGAAAGTAGGCTGAGCAGGGGCCAGGGGAGCAAACCCACTGTGGGTAGTGCCACCCCTGGGCAGGTGGACCTGTGTTGGATAAGAGAGCAAGCTGAGCAGGGGCCAGGGGAGCCAGCCAGTTAGCAGAGTTCCTCCATGGCCTGTGCTGAGTTCCTACCTTGGGCTCCCTGATGAACTGTGACCTGGGAGATGTAAGCTGAATAAACCCTTTCCTCCCCAAGTTGGTATTGGTCAGAGTATTTTGTCACAGCAATGAAGAACAAACTAGGACAGGTGCTAAGAATGGAGGAAAGACAGCATCTTCAACAAATGGTGCTGCCAAAACTGGATCTCCACCTGCAGAAGAATGAAACTTCACCCTTATCTTTCACTCTGCACAAAAATCAACTCCAAATGGATCAAAGACCTCAATATAAACCCTGAAACTCAGAAACTGCTAGAAGAATACATAGGCAGCACCCTCCAAGATATGGGCATAGGAAAGGACTTTCTAAACCAGACACCTGTTGCTCAGATACCGAGGTCAACAGTCAGTAAGTGGTACCTAATTAAATTACAAATTTTCTATACAGCAAAACAAACAAACAACTAAGGGAGACGTAAGCCGAATAAGCCTTTTCCTCCCCAAGGTGGTATTGGTCAGAGTGTTTTGTTACAGCAATGAAGATACAGACTAGGACAAGGTCCAATGTCAATTAACCCCATATCCTTGGTCCTGTGGTGAGACAGGTGTCACGTCAGGAGCCCATGACAGAAAAAAACTGCTCACTTCATGGCCAGGAATCAAAGAGAGAGAAAAAGAGGCTGGTGTCTTATAGTTGCCTTCAAGAACATATCTCCAATGACTGTCCCCCCTGGGGGACAGTCAGCATCTAAACTACAGCAGGAAGCAAAGTCATCCTTCCAAGTTTTCATTAAAAAAAAACAGCTCTCTCATAAAGACTCAAGTGTGGTTTGTACATTGTCAGTCCTCCCTCATCTTTATGGTGGTTTTAAGAATCCCCAAGGCACCCTTACTGCATTTCTTCAGCATCATTAACCCCATGTCTTCCCCTCTGCAGAGAAAGGAGAACTCTTTGTACCTTCTCCCAGTTACTTTGATGTTGTCTACCTGAACCCGGACAGACAAGCTGTGGTTCCTTGTCGAGTGACTGTGCTGTCAGCCACAGTCACACTGCACAGAGAGTTTCCTGCCAAGGAAATCCCCACCAATGGAACAGACATTACTTACGACCTGAAGAGAGGCTTTGTGTACCTTCAGCCTCGCTCTGATCACCAGGGGGTGGTCTACTGCAAGGCGGAGGCTGAGGGCAAGTCTCAGATCTCAGTCAAGTATCAGCTGCTCTACGTAGAAGGTATGTCTGCTTCCCTCACCTAGATCTGTTACTTTTGGCTGGTTGAGATGAAAATAAAAAGGCTTGGGATGCTGTTTCAAGACTCCTCTCCTGCACTTCTAGAGTCTTCTGCTTTCTTGACCCAGCCCCCTCCATTCCCTCCTCTAAGTCCTTCCCATGTTCACTCTCATTCTGCCTCTGTGTGTTTGACCAGCAAGTCCCATGTGTCTCCCCTTAGAACCCCTCTGCCTCTCTGCTTTAACCAAATGTCTTCTTCTCACCTCAATGCTGGCATCTATGCCTGGCCCTCATCCGGTCACCCTGTGTTAGGGACCTCTGCTCCTCCAGGTGCTGACTATGGCTCCTATTCTCATCTCCTTTCTTGTCACCCCCTGCCATGCACTGAGGATTTCATCTCTCTTAAATTGCATTTTCAGACTGACTTCAGTGTCCACCTGGAACCTATCAGCATGTTTACTGAGTCTATTCCACCTCAGATACCCTCTACCAGTCACAACTTTTACATGTCAACACCACAACTGCTCTGATACCGAGATTGCCAAGTCCCATCCCTAGCTCCCAGCACAGACTTCGGACTTACTCAGTGGTTTCTTCTGCACCAATCCTCACTTCTGTCTCCTTCCCCGCCTGGTCCGAGGCCTCTCCTGTCTCTCCAGTCTCTCTAACCTGCCTGGCTTGGATCCCACACTTGTCCTTGCAGTCCTCTCTGTCATGTCCTGAGCTCCTTGCCCTGTCTAGAAAAAAAAAAAAAACAACAAAAACCCTAAATGTCTTTTCTTTGAGTCCATATATGGAGAGCTGAGGGCTTCTAGAAAAATCCCACAGGTTGGCAGGTGGTGGTTCTCCCCAGCCTCACCCTTCCCAGCCTGGTGATCCTACATTGTTTCCTGTCTCTATTTTCCAAATGAGTACTGCCAAGCCCGGTCTCTAAATTGCTGCCTACCTCACTTGCTTCCACTTGGCCTTCTTCCTGACACAAGTGAATCCTTCCCTTCAAAATGGAACTTTACAAAATGTGATGGAGGGAGTTTCAATTCAGTGTAATCACACATGGAATATCTTTTCCTCTGGTACCTTCCATCAGTTCTGTAGTGTTGAAATTCCTGTGCATAAGGATATTGAGACTGGCTAGAGGTAGATAAGCCCAATTTCATATCCAACAGGCACATTGGGTTAGAAAAACACTCCCATCTGGTTTATCAAGCTGCTCATTTAGTATTTTCATCCCGTATTTGTTCCAAAGCCTGCTCCTGCTCTCCCTGTCAGCATGCTGTGAGTCAAGGAGCTTAGAACAGAAGCCTGTCTCCTCCCACCTCTCTCTCCCCATCTAGAGCCAGCCCAGGGGATGAAGAAGAGATGCAGAAGCCCAGAGATGGCTGTCCCATGGTAGTAAATACTAGCCTGGTTTGTCTTTGAGTCAGATGGGGACAGTGGTGGTTCCAACACGTGTCATATATGACAGCAGACTCATTGCTAAGCGGTTCCCTGGATGCCTGGGCCCTCTTCAGACACAGCTTCACTTTCTTGCTGCCCCTTGGCTCCACCTTCTGTTTGCAGCACTTCCTTGCACCCACTGCAGTAATCTCAGGATGCCTATAGCCTTGAAATTTCCATGCCTCTCTGATCCTCTTACTGTGGAGCACATGGCACAGGGACAGGCTAGTGAGCTACAGCACCACATGCCCTTCCCAGACAAAACTCTCTTGGGCCTTCCTCCTTTCTTCCCTCCTTCACTTCCTAGAGAGAGTGTGCTCCTCCTAACCCCAGGACTGAGGGGAGGAAGTGGTTTCTCTTCTGGCACTGTAGCCCCTGCAAGATGACTTTTGTGTCTGAGAACTCTTACACTGATGAGGGATGAGCAGTTAGGTCGGGGCATGGCAGTCTTACAGCAATGGAGTTTCTTAGGCAGCCCTGTGGAAAGGGCCATTGTTCCAGAGTTGGCTGCTCTCAGAAATTAGAATTTGGGTCCCTCAGTGCCTCCCCCCCATCCTCCATTCTCAGTATGGGATTCATTCAGTAGACTTCTAACACTGTGTCTCCAAATAATTCCCATAACCCTTCTTTGAGTGCTCTCCGCCCTCTACTAAGGTCCTCCTCCCCATCACAAACACCCTGAAAATTCTCTGTATTCCCTGACTGCCCTTACCTCCCCTCATCCTTCAGCCCATTTTCTTTTCTTTTCTTTTGTCTTTTCATTTTTTCTTTTCTTTTTTTTTTTTTTTTTTTTTTTCATGTGTGTATGTGTGTCTGTGTTATCTGTGTTACATCTGTGCCTGTGTGTTCATATGTGTGGATGTGGGTACACACACCTGTATGCATGCACAGAGACAAGAAGAGGATGTCAAGCGTCTTTCACCATCATTCTCTGTGCATTCCATCAAGACAGAGTCTCTTCCTGACCCGATGCTCATGTTTTCTCTTCTAGGCCTAGAAACCAGCAAGTGCCACCGATCCTCCTGGCTCTGCCCACCTCAGAGCTGGTTTCTTTTTGAGACAGAATCTTCCTGTAGCCCCAGCTGACTAGGAACTCACTATGTAGATCAAGCTGGCCTTGACCTCACAGAGATCTGCCTGCCTCCGTCTCTCTCCCGAGTGCTGGGATCAAAGGCGTGCACCACCACACACAGCCCTTCAGCCCATTTTCATTAGCTGTTTCCCCTACACACTACAAAAAAAAAGCCTTTACCAGAGTCCTCAGAGATCCCTGTCAGCAAACCCAGCAGGCAGTTTCTGTCCTCATCCTACCAGACACCACCTCTCCTGTGTGAAACCCCTTCAACGCTGACCCCACTTTTCATTCTGCCTTTCCAGTTCTTTGTACTTAATGTTTTGGTTTGGGGCCGTTCCAAAGATTGAACCTGGGACCTCAAAGAAGCCAGGCAAGTACTCTACTACTTCATCAGATTCTAAATGTTAGCGTCCTCAGGACGCCTAAGCCCTTGATCTCTTTGCCGAAAGCCTGATCCACATCCATGGCTCCACTTCATAGCTAAACACCAATGATCTCTTAGATGAACATCTGTGCCCAGGTCTGTGAGGCCAGGTTCATATGTTCAACTGATGTCTGTAATTAGATGCTCCAGAGGACCCTCAACATCCCCCACCTTCAACTCAGTTTCACTTTGCAGACCTGGCACTCTTGTGCCCTCTGCCTCTGATGGATGTTCATTTACCTGGTATGCATGACCGTAACAGAGGTCCAGCCTGACCTTCTCCTAGTCTTTTAGACTCCACTAAATCACTTTCAGATCTTTTCTCTCTACCCTTAATCCAAAAAGGGTTCAAGCTATCTCTTCCTAGAATCAATGAGAATATCTTCTAATTGATCTCCCATATGATGCCCACCTTTTTCTAATTCATTTTTCTATACTGTTGATTACAGTCAAAGTCCTGGCTGGCCTCACATGGCCTGCCCCCTCCCTCCACCCCCGCCCCCCGCAGCTGGCTGTAGCCTTGTACCTTGCGGTCTACCTTATCCCCCTTATCCCTGGCCTACCAGAGCCTCCTGCTTCTCTGGCCCATGTCTTTTTGGGGTTTTTTTGGGGGGAGTATTTTTGAGACAGGGTCTCCCTGTAGCCCCAGCTAGGCCCAGAACTCTCTATGTAGCCTCTCCAGGCTAGCCTTGAACTCACAGAGATTCATGTGCCTCTGCCTCCCCAGTGCTGGGATTAAAAGCATGCTCTACCACACCCAGCCTTGCCAATGTCTTTTAAGCTCAATGCTGAGACTTTAGTCTATATCCTGATTCATCAAAGATACTTTCCTGGTTCACCATCTATGGTGAACTTGAAACCCACTTTGGGCTCCACCTTCAAAGTTTAAGTGAACTACTATAACTGCCACTTAGTGGCCACCACCTCCCCTGGGCTGTTGGGTCCAAGGACTCAGTCTGCCATCTGTCTGGCTTGCTCCTGTGGTCTCAGCTCCTAGCACATCTCCTTGTTTAAGGCTGCCGTCAAAATTACGGATTGAATGAACTGACCATAACAGATGTTTCTGAAGCGCTGGGAAATAAAGGCACAGCAAACACAGGCCACACTTGTATCCTTCCTGTAAACATCTTTCTCATTTGGATGTGTCTGAGGATCGATGCCACACACCTGTCGACCTCCACCTTGGCAGGAAATCTTCACTATGCTCTGCTTAGTCCTTTCCTGAGATCTTCTTCCCCTTCCCACATGCATCTCATGACTTTGACATGACCCTGGCCAACTCCTTAGCTCCTCCCCTGTCCACAAGCAGAGTGAGGGGGACCTTCAATTCTGGAAGACTACCCATTCTGGACCACCAAGGTAGAGAGGCAGAGGCAGCTTCCAACAAAACCAAAGGGTGGGCCAGTGTTGACCTGGGGCTGGTAGTGAAGCTGTAGGAAAGGAAGAGATATTTCCTCTCTCTCCACAGAACAGAATGTGACTATCGGTTTGGCTTTAACACCACAGTTATGGATCTCATTTTTTGTTTGTTTGTTTCCTGCTTGCTCTCAGTTCCCAGTGGCCCTCCATCGACAACCATCCTGGCCTCCTCCAACAAGGTGAAAGGTGGGGATGATATCAGTGTGCTCTGTACTGTCCTAGGGGAACCTGATGTGGAGGTGGAATTCAGGTGGATCTTTCCTGGGCAGAAGGTAAGTGCCACAGCCCAGCCTCAGCCAGCAGTTTTAATTCAGTTTTTCACCACATAGTGACATAGGCCATAGCTTGGGTGCTTGGGTATAAGAAATGTGTGGGACTAGGTAGGAGCCAGGGAATGCTCATCTTCTAAGATGCTCCAGTCTATTTAACAATAGATCGTTTTAGACAAAAAAGTGAATGACTCCATTAGGCAATTCACTCAAGGTGCCTTCTTCATATGTAACTTTTCATCATTACTAGTCAGGGACAGTAGTGGAAAAGGAGACACTCTCTCACACCCAAACTCCAGCCTTCAGGCCCATCCCCTAGGTCCACCAGAGGCTGATCTAACCTCCTTCAGGAAATACTATCCAGGCTTAAAGGCATGGGTTGGAGAAGGGAGGTACCAGCAGGCCAGGAATCCCCACCTAACGCCTGTGAAGGGCTCTGAGCAGACATCCTCCAAGTGGGCATATAAACATAGACCCTGTTGAAAAGATGTTGTGAGGTCAAAGACCATTTTAAAATACTTTCTATAAAAGCAAGCCAAGCATCTTTAGCCTCTGAGTAAGCTCTGCTCGCTAAAATAAACAGCTCTGCTACCAACTTTGTTACCAGGAGCGATTTGGCCTCCCAAGTCATCCTCAGCAGCCAGATCTCTCCTAGACTAAGAGTTGTGATGGGCAGAATTTGATGCTCCCTGGAGAATAGTACTTTCCAGCATCCTGGAACTAGGTGTTTGCTTTTAAAATACACTGTCATGTTTAGAAGACATCCATGCTTTTCAATATACTGGCTTTTTACATTGCTGGGGTTTGTTTGGGGGGGTGGTTGAGATAGGGTCTCTCTGTAGCCCCAGCTATCCTGGAACTCTCTATGTAGACCAGGCTGGCCTTGAACTCAGAGATCCTCCTGTCTCTGCCTCCTGAGTGCTGGGATTAAAGGTGTGCGCCACCATGCCTGGCTTACATTTCTAATTGTTATGTGCAGAAAAAGCATAAACTTAGCATAAATTACTTCTATTAAGTGAATTTACAAAATACTGCTCTTATCACCCAAACTGGCTGAAATATATCTCAAAAAGTGATCAGCTTCTAGAATGGGCAGTCATGTTGTCTAGGGCATGATCTTATCCATCCTTGGCACCAAGGCATATTAGTCTATCACCTTTCTCCCTCTCCCAAATCTGATCTGCAAGGAGCTCTTATTCACGTACACAGCCGGTGCTTTGGGCTTTAAATTCTGTGAATGAGAACTACATGGGGGTGAAAACTGGCAATGTGTAGATGATAGAGTGGAAAATTCTGCCTGTGTTTTCACACTGAAGTCTAGCTCCCCTCAGAGCTCCAAAGAATCCATTTTACATTAAGTAGAAACTTATTAAAAGGCAGAAAGATGCTGAAATTCAAGGCTCCACTTGGAAAAAATGCAGCCTTGAATGATTGATTATTCAGTGAAAAAACAATCCCAGAGCCCATGAGCTCTGCATACCACATAGTCTTCTATGAGCATGTGCTTTGCATTCTACGGGAGCTGCATATAGGACAGCTTGTCTGCTCTGGCTTCAGTCTGTGTGGCTGTCTTTAAACAGGATGAAAGGCCGGTGACCATTCAAGACACTTGGAGGCTGGTCCACCGAGGACTGGGACACACCACAAGAATCTCCCAGAGTGTCATTACCATCGAAGACTTTGAGACCATTGACGCAGGATATTACATTTGCACTGCTCAGAATCTTCGAGGACAGACTACAGTAGCGACCGCTATTGAGTTTTCCTGACTTGGAAAGTGAAGTGCAATGAACTGGTGGAAAGCCCATCTGTGTATACAATCAGCTTTGGGTTCCTTTTATTCGTACTTTACCAGAGGCTAATGTCAAGTGCCAAGCGCCAACCTCTGCTTGTGAGTCAGACAGACATCCAAATTAAAAGGAAGTCATCATCAGTCTATTAATAGAAGCATTAACTTTTCTAACAGAAGGCATATATAGTGATTGCTTATCTACAGTGTTTCTAGTTTTTACACTAAGAAAACATGTCAACTTTGTATAATCATTTCTATTAAATGAGCAAGTTTTTATAAAAAATAAAGATGAGCTAAGTGCTTGTGTTCCTCACTTGGTTAGAAGTACATCCAGAGGGCTTGTTGGCAGCAATCTTTGGATCAGTACCCAGTAATTCTCTTTGATGTCTGAACCAAGTTCAATTGCTTATCCACAAGCAACAACTCACGATTCAAATGCTTAGACATGTTACTTTCTCTCAGTTGGAACATTAAAGCTAATGTGAGTTAATTTATAACAATAACAAAAAGTCACAGATATTTAACTTTTACATTAAATTGTTGTACTCAAACGTACTAATTCTAAATTTGCCTATTCAAAAGAACTGGAACATATATTATTAAAAGTTTTGCTTTTAACATAACATAGATGAACAGCTTAAGGAACATTTAGTTTTGTCTAGATCTGTCTTCAAAAATACTTAGACCATAGCAGTCTCAATTTTCTTATGTCATACGGCAGAAATTATTGAAACTAGCCAAAATTTATTTCTCAAATACACAGGTCTTTGAATTTTGAAAAGCTTAGCTCTAAACTCAAGGTCTGATCAGCCCATGACAAATTCTGGCACTGTGTTGAAAACTCCTGTAAAATAACTTAAGGGACATAGTCTTATGAGTCATGAAAAGGGCTATACAGCCTAACACTTTGAAGTGTGAAGCATATGACATTGAATAGTCCAGCACTGTTTATTTGATCAAAGTAAAATACACTTTCCATCACTATAAACTACAGTTGTTAGCATATCACATTTTTATGATGTGCCAACATTTTGCATCCTACATAAAACATCTGGTTTGAAACAAAATGAAAAGCTCTCTATTTTGTTTCCTATCTTCTTTCTTACTGTCTTCCATCCACTGAAGACATTTTATTCTGATTTCTGTAAGACTGATTTCCCGGACACCTAAATGGTATGGAGGAAAGCGGGGAATAGCATGTGATTTACCATGGCCAGGGCATGAAAGGTAAACCCAACTTTGGCTAGTGTCATTGAGAACTGGAACCATGAGCAGAGAAATATCAGGAGGTGGCAGTGAACCTACATTCCCACTTATCAGAAGCAAACATGGAAGGTTACATACATCATAAACTACTGCAGGTTAAAGACTTTAAACATAACCACTAATAAAAATCATGCATCATGAATAACTACCAATTTGCTATGTAGTGTAAATGTACACAATGGCACAAATACCCACCATCCAGCATCCTGAATCTGTTCTTACTATAATGGGTTATTTGCACAGCCATCGAAGATGGTTTAGTAAATACTGACATCACAATGTCGACACATGCGGGGGTGGGGAGAAGCCACAGCTATCCTTCTGCCTTCCCACAAATCTTAGAATTGTGGGAGGTAACAAGCGAGATTTTGAAAAGAAACTCAAATTCAACTCGAAGGGGAGCTGTATAAAACCACATTTCCCACTCTTGGGCTGCCCTTTTGGCTATATCCCAATGACAGGGAGAGCACTCAAAAGGTCTCCCTATATTAGCATTGTCTCTCCAGACAGTCTTGCTCTATCACACTGCATCACTGGTTTAATGAAGGAGCTCTGTTTATAAGTATGTGCTGAATCCCGTATCTTTAATGACTTTCCTGAAAGTTTCCCAAAATTTGTAGCCTCAGGTCCCAGACCTGAGTGTATTTGGAAAATGGGTTCAGCACCTCAAAGATGAGCTGGCTCTGGAGAAGCATATGCCTTTATCTTTGTCCCACAGAAAAGTAGGCAGGAGGTATAAGGTTTGCTTTTGTGGCTCTGGATGGAAGAGAAAAAAAGAAGGAAGTCAGGGTAAAGGGAGAGAAGATGAAGGTTTACCTCTGTAAGGATAGCTTAGATTCAAGGTAAAAGGCAGAGAAGCCCATTGATACTGCCCCTTTATATACAGATTTTTTTTAAAGTTAGGATTCTACATTTGCTCATAGCCATAGAAAATGGATCAGAGTATAGCAATTATGCTCACAAAAATCTACAGAAAAAAAATATCTAGTGTCAACTGACAGAGCTGAACACTGAAAATCTGCCAACAAGTTACTCCAAAAAGACACAGAAATATAGACATCAACAAGTCAAAAAGCTCTTGTCATTCCTTCGCCCGGCCACATCACGGTGCTGAGAGGAGCTGGTGGCGGAGAATTATAACTCACAAAACCACTGCTTTCTCTCCTATGGCTTTTGTTGAAATGTGTGCACCGGTGATGTGATTAGCACAGACCCAGCTATACTCAGCTGCTGACTTAATAGACAGCAGAGAGGGCTGCATCAGACACATGACACACTGTTACATCCATTTCATTCACACACCCCCACCCACAGACTGAAATAAAAATCACAAGAAGGTGTCTCTGGTGAAGAACATTACAAAGGTTATAAATCTTTATCTTAATAGGCCCCTGAGAGTTTTTCTTTCCCCTTATGCTTAGGTGAAAAAAGGCAAAGAACAAGATTCTCTCGTTCCTTAAGTGCTTTGTGCAACTATGTCCACATCAATTCCAAAATCTTTTTTGGAGGCAGCTTTTGGACTGAGTCAAAAGTCTTCCTCTGGAGTTCCCATCTTGTAAGTAGCTGACGTGGTGGTGGCTTTCCAGTTATCCTGTGGAAATTCCAGAAAGCTAGTGTAGCTCTTGCTCCCACAATCATTCTTAGGGTCAGTCCTGCAGACCTGCATCCCAGTGCCTTTGGAGAGTCTCTTCCCTTCAGAAAGTGTCATCTGGGTGAGATGCTGGGGCTGGGAAAGGAGCCAGAATTCCTGGGGGATGGGAAGGGGATGGCTGAGGATGTGGGGGACCTCTTGGGGCTGCACAGGTCCCCATTGTGCAGCTTCCACAGCAGCTCCTCATTCTCCATGGACAGTCGCTTGTTGACCTTCGACTCCTTTTCCAGGGACTCCTGCAGCGCTGCCTGCTCACTGGAGAGTTGCCTTGAAAACAAGAACCAGAAATCATGTGGAGTCTAAGCCAAAAATTAACTCTTTCTTTTAAGTCTGAAGGTATAAAAAACCTACTCCAGTGGAATAAACTCCTGCACAGGGTCATAGATTTTTAACCTAAGAAATCCAAATACTACATGGTTTCCATGCTAGATAACTTTAGTTGCCAACTTGACATACCTGGATAAAGGGAACCCTCAATTGAGGCACTGCCTCCATTGGATTGGGAAGGAGGGCCTGTGTTGTATGAGAAAGTAGGCTGAGCAGGAGCCAGGAGAGTGAGCCAGTGAGCAGTGTTCCTCCATGGTCTGTGCTTCAGCTCCTGCCTCCAGGTTCCTGCCCTAACTTCCTGCCCTGACTTCCCTCAGTGATCAACTGGGAGATGTAAGATAAAATAAACCCTTTCCTCCCCGAGTTGATTTTGGTGACAATAGAAAGTAACTAGAGTAGGAAACAGCTGAGTGGTAGAGGGCTGGCCTAACGTGTGAGTGTCCAGGTTTAGAACAGGGCAGTACGAAAAGGAAAATGAACAAACTCCCAAATACTGGAAGAATAGTCTGTTCCCAACAATGATGATGACGATGATGACGGCAATATCAACAGCTAACAGTAGCTCTCCTTTTTGGAAAATTTTATAGCAGGCTATGGGAAACTGCTATGAGCATGTATTGTTTTCTGTCTTAGCTTGAGGGATACTTTCTATTTGATTTTGTGTTGGTCCTTCTCTGAAAACAACAGCACAGTTAGTGAGTCCAGGGCTGTGGGTTGAGGCTTGCTCACTTAGGCGGCCATGTTTGGTCCAAGCCACTTTGGTAGAAGAATGAACTGCCACCACCCTCTGTTCCAGATGGAAATTAGCGCCTATTTATCAGCTTCAATTTCGGGAGGAACCCAGTAGAGTGTGGCTAGAAAGTAACAGTGCACACTCAAAGACCGGAGGGGCTGTTTCACTTTTACCTTGAAATTGCCATGTGCTTGTCCATCCGAGCTTTTAATTCCTCGTTCTCCTGCTGGAATCGCTTCAGCTTGTCAACCAACACTGTGTTGTTGTCCACCTTGGTGTAAACAAAAATCCCAATATTTATAGTCACAAAAACAAAATCTTGGCGGGCGTGGTGGCGCACGCCTTTAGTCCCAGCACTCAGGAAGCAGAGGCAGGTGGATCTCCGTGAGTTCGAGGACAATCTGCTCTACATAGTGAGTTCCAGGCCAGCTTGGCTACAGAGAGACCCTATCTCCAAAATAAAAAATTAAAAAAAAAAACCCTCTCATTTCTAAAGGCATCTTCCTGATATAAGGATACTCAGAAGACTGAATGAGGGGAAATGAGATAGCAGACTGACTATACTGACATACACCACACGGCAAAAAGAAAGTAAAACAGGTCATCTAGAGACTCACAGTTTTGAGAACTGTGTATCAGCATGGAAAGATGAGGTACCCAGGGTGGTAATTTCTGTTCTAGGTGATGCTTTCAGAATGGCCCCCTGAGAACTAGTGTCTTGCCCAGGTGACCACTGGTGCTTGGCTTCTTTTCAAGGTGGTAAAGCAAACACTATAGCTTAACAGCATGAATTAACTGCATCTCCTACATCTTATGATAATTATAATGTTCTTGCAAAAAAAAAAGGGAAGGGAGGGGGTGGGGAGGGAGGGAGGAAGAATGAGAGAGAGAAGGGGAGAGGGAAGGAAGGTGAAGGAGCTCACAGGTCTGGGTCATATTGAAGGAAGTCTTTTACTCATTCTGGGGTTTCTTTCGGCATTTACCTCTGCATGACTACATAAAAGCATGATGCAGCAAGGCTGTGCAGAGAATCAAATGAAAGACATAACTCTATAGAGAGCCCCCTCCTCAGGTCAGCTCAAGGCCCACTTTTGTCCTGCTGTCTGCCTGGCCTTAACTTTCATGATGAACAAATCAATCATTTGAGAGATTAGAGGGTAAGACTCACGAGGACATTGAATTGCAATGGCGAGCTGATTCCATCCCAGCTTACTTAGCAAAGGCATGGTTATATTTCTTGTTTAGGAGGCAACATCACAATTCGGTCAAAATTAACCCCAAGTCCTCACCATGGCAGCTAATGGCTCATCAATGGCTCATTCACTCCGATTAAAGTATCTAGGTGCAGTTCTGTTACTAAGACATCCCCATATGTCAAAAATACTCAGGGCAAGGGGCTGGAGAGACGGCTCAGTGGTTAAGAGCACTGGCTGCTCTTGCAGAGGACTCAGGTTCAGCTTCCAGCACCCACATGATGGCTAACAACGGTCTTTAACTCCAATTCCAGGTGATCAGATGCCTTTTTCTGACTTCCATGGGCATTGAAGGACACAGGTGTGCTTACATACCTGAAGTTAATATACTCATGTACATACAATGAAAATATTGTCAGCTGATTACTGCTGGGTGAGGAAGAGCTGATCTTCTTAAAGTGAGGGACTCTAGACAGGCTGACTAGGCCTCAGTAGGTGAACTTGCACCGAGGAAATTCTGGGGACACTAACTTGACACAATAGGCCTTAACACAAATGACAGAATGTATGAATTCTGGGGGAGGGGGGGCTATAGGAGGGTGCCAGTGGGGATGAGGGTATAAAGATGATTAAGATTGATTGAGATGTTCTATATGAAATACACAAAAATTCAATAAAACATTTACAAAAAAAAATATTCAGGGCAAGTCAGTCAGTGAAACAACCTTCCAGAAAAATAAGTCCAGAATAAAAGAAAGAGGAGTCCTTGAAATATTTAGTGGTTGTAAAACATTCAGGATAAAAACACATACTGGGAAAACCTGGAGTTAAGGACTAGGTGGCAATTGGCCTTAAAATATTATCTCATCAACTCTTCATTTTATAGAGATAGAAACTAGACCTGAAAATGTCACAGAGCTAACTACTGTCAGAGCTAGTTCTTGCTTTGTAGACACCTTCCTCAGACTGACCAAGTGTGATGGTTAGTTTTAATTGTGAACTTGATCTAGGAAGCCTCAGTGAGGGACTGTCTGTATCAGATTGGTCTACGGGCATATCGGGGATTGTCTTGACTAAATGTGGGTGGCACCTTCTGGTAGTGGCCTGATTTAAAAAAAAAAAAAACAGAAAACATGGAAGAAGGAAAGTTTTCACTTTTGCTGCTCACTGTGCCTTCAGTCTTACTGCTGAGTTAATTATCCTGTTGCTGCTGTTGATGATCCCTACAGTGATATTGGAACTAACTTCTTCAGGCTTCTAACATGGACTGAAGACCAGGAGCTCTCCTGGAATCTTCCAGACCTTCAGTGTTTGATTGGTACTGGTGAGGCACCTAGCCTCATGGACTGAACATCTACCAGGGCTCAACCTCTTCTGTGAGAGACAGCCATCATTGGACTACTCTGACCTTATCATGGGAGCCAAACTAATAAATTCCCCCTTTTACTATATTAATTCTGCTGGTTATTTCCTCTAGAGAATGCTGACTAATACATTAAGTGTCCTAACTTCTTAAAAGGTCTACTTCTGAGTGAGTGAGTGAGTGTGTGTGTGTGTGTGTGTGTGTGTGTGTGTATTAGCAGTGTTAGCAGTGAGTTACACCTGTGCCCATCAGTACCTATCCTCCTGTGCAAACAACAATGTGATGCTGACTGATATTGTTATGATGCCTCTTGGGCATAGCAAGAAACAAAAATACTATGTATCAATAAAAACTAAAATATGCTGATACTTATACAGCCGAGTCTTTGGTCACACATCTTCTAAAAAGTTGTGATACATAAAAAGCAGATGGAGCAACAAATTATTGGCAGTATTATCTGAGTCATCACTATTTGCCTGATGTACAGAGATGTCACCCTGGCATACCCTTGGTAGGAGATACTATGTGTGCTAGGCTGGGCCTATTAATAATTGGAGCTCCTTGTGTATGCGGGCGCGCATATACACACACACACACACACATGCACACACACTCAAACTTGTGCTTCCTGGTCCATCAAGATGTGAAGAGGTGAGGAATTCCAGCTGTACGTGGCTGCTGTCGTGTTTTCATGGTGGATTCTAGAACTGGGACAGACTTAAGACATCATTCAGGAAAATTCCCTTACAGGCTTAGGAGACTTTATTCTTCACATGGGCAAGAGAGCAATCAGGAGACCAGCTGAACTGTGAACACCAGGAACTATGAAGACGATCTCAAGCTGAACTGAGAACCAAGAAGTTACATCCCTGGTCTACACTGTCACTGCCATTGATTGAGGCAGCCGAATCGTGGGGGGCTGTCCTTGTGGCTATACTCAGATCAGCTACAGTGAGCCCTTAGAGGCACATATTTGTCCAAAGAAGAGACTGTAGCTATGGCTCTCACTCTGTCTGTGCCTGCTGGCATCCTGACTTTTGCTTAAGACATTAGGTTGACAGAACATTAGCCACGGAAGTCAAGCAGAGTCTTGAAGAGGACTTTCATGTCAGATTTTCATCTATGCCATCACACATGCCTCTAGGAGTGTGAATGGCCACAAAAAGAAGCACTCCAATCATCCATGTAAACCATTCTGGTAGAGGCCCCTGGACCCACTAGCCCACCAGCATCAGCATATGAGGAAGGCCTTTTGTGACCATTCAGCCCCAGCTGAGCCACAGCCTGTCCACAGTAAGGTACCAAACAGCCACAAACCAGCTGAACTAAATGACCAACCTAACTGTGACCAAAAATGATTAAGCTCACTAAGTTTTAGGAAGTTTGTCAGACAGGTGAAAGGATAACCCACAGAAAGGATGGACTCTAAAAATATTCACATCTGACTACCTGCTTTTAGAGGGAGGTGATTCTTAAGCCCTCATATGACTATATTGGCATTACTTCAACTTATCAGGAAATTTGGGGGGAGTGCTGTTTTTTTTTCTTATATACAGTGGAGTGACTGTAACTCTCCAGCCCATCATGAGGACGTTCAAGTGTATCTTGTACTTTGACCATTTTCGCCCTCCATTACTCTCTCCTGTTCCCCCTGCTGGTCCCTATTCTCTTCTATCCAGTCCTCCTAGTTCCATGTCATATATATGTGTGTTCACAATCTAGGTTCTGCATATGAGAAAAAAACATGCCATATTTGTCTTTCTGGTTTGGCTTATTTCACTTAATATGATGATCTCCAATTCTACCAATTATTTTTCTGCAAATTATTTTTCTGCATAATTTCATTCTTCATTATGGCCAATTAAAACTCCATTGTGTATAAGAAAACAATCAGCACTCCCCAGAATTTCCTGATAAGGTGAAGTAGTATGAGGGCTTAAGCATTACCTCCCTCAAAAAAGCAGGTAATTATCTCTAGGAAACAAAGCACAGCAAAACACCAGGCTAAGCCAAACCCCCACACTCCAAACAAACAAAAAGCCAAACAGTCAAGCATGACCTCTGTGCTCCCTATTGTCCAAAACTGGCCTGGGTATGAATGAGACATTTATTCAAGGGTGAGTCATCCACAACTGGGTGGAGAAGAGGCGAGCTACAGCACTAGGCGGAAGCAAAGTGCAACAACAGCTAGGATCACTTATGCTGCTCTGCCAAACCCTGCCAGCTTGGTTAGTGTCCTGGCTTGTAGCAGCTGAGTTTCAGGATTGGCCCAAGACTGACAGTGCACACAAGGCATGTCTCTCAAACAGTGTAGGCTCATCACACACAAACATCCATTCTCTGCCCTAAAGGCTGCAAACTAAATTCTTAATTTTCAAACTGTTTGCTGTTTATCAACTGGATTAATCTTATCAATACACAATTATTTTTTAACACATACTAATTCATAAGAAGAAAGATGAAGAATTCTAATAGATTATGCCAATGAGATTAAGTTCTATATCTAACTGTCCTATGTATAACAAACTGTTCCAGGGGCTACAGAGATGGCTCAGCAGTTAAGGGCACTGGCTTCTCTGGCAGAGGACCAGGGTTCAACACCCAGCAAACACATGGCAGCTGACATCATCCTTAGCTCCAGTTCCAGGGAATCCAACGCCTTTTTCTGATCTCCACAGGTATTGTACTACACGGGTGCATGTACAGATATACAGGCAATACACTCATACACATAAAATATTAAAAAAGAAACCTTTCCAGAGTTGGCTGTATGTTAAAATATTGGTTTTTACAGTCATTAACATTTTTCCTTAGGCAAATGAAGATTCCTAGATCACTGAAATGTGAGCCTGATTTGTTTGCAGTAGTTTTTCCAAGAACTGAATCCTGCTTTCATTCCATGAAAAATAAACATTCTAGAAGGCAGCAATGAATCAGCTTTAAACAAACTTGGAAAAGAAAATGCAGCATTGACCCTTTGATGCTTTCCAAATATCTTTGAGCAGAAGTCAGCTCAACTCCACAGTTCTAAAGCTCCAAACTCAATATTCCTATATCCCAGGCAGTACCCCACTGGGCTCCATATTCCTATATTCCAGGAAGTATCCCACTGGGCTCCATATTCCTATATCCCAGGCAGTACCCCACTGGGCTCCATATTCCTATATCCAGGCAGTACCCCACTGGGCTCCATATTCCTATATCCCAGCAGTACCCCACTGGGCTCCATATTCCTATATCCCAGCAGTACCCCAGTGGGCTCCATATTCCTATATCCCAGGCAGTACCCCACTGGGCTCCATATTCCTATATCCCAGGCAACACCCACTGGGCAAGATGCCTCAACCTGCAGTCCTGAAGGAGACATACCAGCTTCTCCATTCTCATTAATTTCATGTCCTGTTGATGCAGCTTCTCATTCTTGATCTCTAACACAGCTTTCAGGCTTTCTAGTTCTTGCTCCAGATACATGACCTGAGGATTTTTCTGGAAAGGACACAGCAAGATATTTATTTCACATATCACACACTCCATACTCTTAGCATAAGGAATTTCTGACTAGACTTAGACAAACAAGTAGAAAGTGACATTCTTTTGCTTTGTTTTTGTTTTTTTGGGTCATGCTATGAAGCCTGGACTGACTTTGAACTTAAAGCAATCCTCCTGCCTCTGCCTCCCAGTGCTGGGATGACAGGCATACCCAGATAAATGTATGTTTCTTTTCTTTGTTTTCTTGAAATAGGGTCTCATTGCATAACCAAGGCTGGCCTAGAATTCATTATGCAGCCTAGGCTGGCCTTGAATTCACAGCCATCCTCTTGCCTCAGCCTCCCAGGTTCTGGGATCATAGTGGTAAGACATCATGCCTGGCTTGACATCTTACAGCAGTTTCAAAGAAGTAAATAAAAAGAGTTAAGAGCATTTTAATTTCAAAGACTTTGGTCATAATATTGAAAACAAACATTTTATTCATTTATCTGTAACAATATGGGGCAGACATTGCTTTCATCAAGTCTGTTATTAGAAACAAGAAAACTGTTGCTTCCAATATAAAAGCAGAGCTCTGGGTGGAGACTAGGCTTTCTACCAGTTCTAAACTGGTATCTGGAGAAAAGGAAACAGTAGTTCTTCTGAAGCAGGGGCAGTGTATTTGCAGGGCCCTCTGAAAAATATCAGATACAGTGATAATGTCCTGAGCCTTGGGACCTTTTAAATGATTATGTTGGCTTGGCCATACCTCTAGGGCAGCCATAACATTACCATAGAATATAGCAATGTACAATTCTTCCTAAAATGCGCACTCATGATGGGAGACACCAAGAACACAATACCCCCTCCTCCTTGCTTAGCACAAGGAAATTCAACTGAACCATTTGAACATCTGATACAAATCATCTATATATGATCTAGCTACTTCTCTGCAGCCCATCCCTGACTCTGCTCCTGTGAGTGCTCTTTTCCCTGGCCCAATGCTGAGAGGAGGAAGGCACTGGGTTTTACTGTTCCCACCTGTTCCCACCTTAGCTTTCAAGGCAGGCTGTAACAGAAGAACCCCCTTTGCATTCCAGGAAGCTCTTTACACCTGCTCCTTGGACCATCAGTGCATGGAAGTCCAAACTGCTTTTGAAATCACTGCCTTTTCTTACAAATCTTCCAGATTAGTTAGCTTTGAAAGTTTCTTGAATGTGATATTTATTTATACAAAAAGATTATTCATTCATGAAAAAGAATGATATGTGGCCACATGCTGCCACATGGATGAATCCTGACATTATGCTAAGTGAGCATGGCAATTACAGAGGGCCATGTGTCACATACTGTATGACTAAGTGTTCAGAAGAGACACATCCACAGAGCTAGCAAGCAGACTGGTAGTTACTCAGTGCAGGGGTCCTGGAGAAGATGGGGACTGACTGCTAGTGAGTACAGGCTTCCTTCTGGGGTGACAAATGCTCTGGAATTAGATCCTAGTAACTAATACACAACATTATGACATACTATATAGAAAGTAATTTGTGATTATGTAAATTTATATCACAATATGGCAGGGGGTTTTTGAAAGTAAAAATCTTGAGCTTATCATTTTTAAATTTTGTTATGCCTGTGCTCACACCACTGGATTTCAATCTGTATAACAGTTTTTAGGATTAAAAAAATCATCAGTAAGTGAAGTTGTTTTATATAATTAAAAGAAAACACTGAAAGACATGAAGGATTCTAAACCTCTATTATTTCTCTAGCTGCTGAACAATGAATTGGCTAAAAGGCGACTGAGCAGAAGAAAAGCCAGTAGCAATAGAGAACACGCAACTTACCGAATTTGCCTTCTCTTTTGATATTTTTTGTTCCTCTGATTTCAACTTTTCATTTAGAGCATCATTTTCACTCTTCAGATCATTGATTTGTTTCTAAGACATAAAGAGTGACATGTAGAAGGTCAGTTAACAAGCAGAAAAGGAGCAAAGGTACCCATAGGCATATTCTTAGTTATCTAACGCTCACCAAGTCCACACAAGTGCCGAGTGAGGGACTCACCTCTAACAATTCCTGCTTCTCATTAAGTAGATTCTCAAGGGATTTCTTTTCCATTTCATGGCTTTTCTTGATTTCTAAAAGGAAGGTATTTATTTTTTTAGTCAATAACATTCTACCTACAGTCACCGAACTATACAGATGCTGGAGATGATGCAGTTACAACTATATTATTTTATGTTTCTAAGATGCTTTTATATAAATTAAGCAATCTGTTTCCAGAATAGCCCCACTAGGTGGGTAGGGCAGAGAATTCTGGTTATGACCAGGAGCACTGATGCTCAAAGAAACCAAGAAAAACTCAGACAGCTCAGAACGAAGGGGTAGGTAGTGGCTCAAAACATAGGTTTGGATTCCAGACTTCAAGACCCCAGTGCTCCTTTCAATTTGCTCTTCCAGAAGCAAGTAGAGGTCTACAATTAAGCTCATTCCATGCAGGAAGAAAGAAAACAATGTTTGCTAAATGTCTATGGGAGTGAGTCACTTTCATCCATCACCATCTCTGCTGCCACAAAGCTCAATCTTTCATGTGAGAAGAATCCTCACTAAAGGTCACGTAGTTAGCTCCTCCCATACAACCGGATGCTACTCTGGAGGCTGAAGCTCACAGCAAAGACTGCTGTGAAGGAAATGGCTTCTTGCTCCTTCCCTTCCACATCAACCTCTCCAATAATGGCAAGTGAGGTAACAACAGATGATCCTTTCCTTATCCATCAAGTTCCACCTGGACCCACCACAGTCCTGGTGTGCAAGAGTGCTTAAGTGTGGAATCTTGACACTGGCCGGTTTATACACCGACACCTTGAACTTCCCATGGCCTAAAGGAATAAACACCACCACTACCACAAAAAGGCCTTTAGAATTTTTAGAAGGTCATCCTGTTTCCTAATGGCCTGGCATGTATGACGAACCATTATTTGCATCCTTAAGGGAAAAGGGGCACCCATTAACAATGGGCAATGCTAAAAGAAACCAAGAAGATTCTCAAGAGAATGCCATAGGGCGTTCTCTGGAAGGAAAGTTATAAATCATTTCCGTTTGAATAAATATCATGCTTTTCCATTACATTTCTATTTAAATAGCAAAAAGCATCCTTGCCTGAAAGGGAGGTTTCATAGGCCTTCTTTAGCAATTCCACTTTCTCTGAGTGGCTAGCTTCAATTTCCAGCTTAGAGGTTTCATGGGCAGCATTTAAGTTGTCAAACTGTAAGAAACAAAATCAATCATGTACCAGTCAAGCCAAAAGTGCTAAGTCAAATAGAGCAGTAGCTACATCAGGAGATTTCACCCATGGGCTTGCACCACATTCAAAGGTACCTAACACATGTGAAGATCAGTCCACCCTGTCTTGCCCGTCCCACAGCCCTACTCCATCCTCCCCAGGAACCCCAGCTCTACAGGGTCCACTATTGGCCATGGCTAAGTCCATCACAAGGAGTGAGGCTGCGTTTCACAGTGGTAGCTCACCCTAGCCCCATGCCTGTCACCCTAACCACTCTACCCTCAGGCCCAAGCATGTCTAGAATAAAGCAGGAATGATGTAGATATTTGCTGAATGAAATACTAAGCTGAAAAGGGAACAAGGAAATTAAGGTTCTAAAAAAAAAAAAACAAACCAATGGTTTAGCAGCCCAACACCAGAATGCTTCCAAACAGATTATTTCTGGGTAGTGAGTGGATGGGATACTTGAATTTCTTCTTCTTTTTAAAATTTCTTTTCTTTTTTTGGACGGGGGAGGTAGTGATGGATTGAACTCAGCGCCTTGAACATGCTTGGCAAGTACTCACTCTACCTCTGAGCTACATCTCTGGAACTTTTACTTTTTGTTCTGAGTCAGAGCCTCCTTATGTTGCCCAGTCTCCATCTACAGCACAGGTAGGCCTTGGACAAACAGCTGGAGGGATTACCTGCCCTCCCCCCAGTTTGTTTGTTTCTCATACTGGAGATTGTGTATTGGAGACTGAATCTAGGGCCTGTGCATGCTCAGAATATCACTACCACTTAGTCACATCCTCAGCCTTATTTATTTATTTATTTATTTTGAATTTTCACTTTTATTTTAAATCAGGGTCTCACCAAGTCTCCCAAGCTGGCCTTGAACTTATTATGCGGCCAAGGCAGGCCTTAAACCTATAATTCTTCTACCTTAGCTTCCAAGTGTTGGATCATAAGCATGCACCACCATGCCTGGCTACTTTCCTACTAACTCAATACACTGCATTGCTTTGATCATAGGAAAAAAGAAAAAAAATCAATCTGAAAAGCTTCTTCCCCAACTGAAGTAAAAGACAAGGACTGCGAATAGTGACTAGGCACAGACCTGCTCTTGCAGCTGTGTTTTATACTTCTCTGCCTCCTCAATGTAAATGTTCTGAAGCTTTTCACACTCCCCAGTGTAGAATTCCTTCAGCTGATTCTCTAGCTCCGTTCGGTCGGTCTGGTGCTGTTGGTTCAGCTTCTGGACAAATCCTTCATACGCTGTTTGCAACTCATTCCTGGATTTCTCTAACTTCTCACAGGTGGTTGAAGCAGCAACTAAAAGGAGATAAAAGGAAGAGTCTCAGTTCACCCAGTGTCAGAAATTTATACATTTACACATAGCTGTGGTGACTCTGAAGGCATAAACACAACAGCATGTTATGTGTGTTGTAACTAGTGCTGCAGTTCAGATATGAATTCAAAGGTCCATGGGCTAAAGGCTCCCCAGCCCACAGTGCCACTGTGAGGTGGTGAACCAGAGGTTTTAGGTCACTGGGTATATACACTTGGAAGGGATAGTGGGATGCTGCCCCTTCCTTCTTCTCTCTTTCATTTCCCTGTCATGTAGTGAACATTTTTCTCAACCCTGTGCTTGCTCCTATTATGATGTGTACCTCACCACTGGCACAACTGATCATGGACTGAAACCTCCAAAACTGTGATCCTGGTCAAACCTTTCCTTTTTATAAGTTGGCTATCTCAGGTATCTTGTTATAGTAATGGAAAGTTGGCTAACAGAACCAGGCTTCTATGCATAATAGTTGTAACAAGTGGATTGTGAAAAGAGGAGAGAATAAACTGATAGGGGGAAAAAAACCAAATAAGCATAAAACACCCCCAAAACTGACTACTGGGCTGTAAGAGAAGTACTTGAGTAAAGCTGGATTTCTTAGGAAAGATCACTCTTTTGTATGATGACCATCAGTAAAAGTGGTCACAGACATAACAATTCCAGGCTGGCCAAGACATTTCTAATGACAGGTGATGTCACCTATGACCTGCAGAGGCAAAAGCTAAGACACACAAGCACAGGAATGATCAGACAGAAGAAACAAGTGCATTTTCAGTTTGTATTTAAACATGAGCTACTCTAAATGTGTTATTCAAATACATAGCAGTAAACACAAAAGTATTGGAACATACTGAAGAAAAAAATCACTGTAGCATAAAAATTTTAGCGATGAAGACACATTTTAAAACCTAAATATAGGGCTGGAGAGATGGTTCAGCAGTTAAGAGCACTGGCTGCTCTTACAGAGGACATGGGTTCAAGTCCCAGCACCCACATGGTGGCTGACAACCATCTCCAGTTCCAGTGGGATCCAACACCCTCTTCTGGTCTCTGAAGACAGACATTGTACAACTTGGGTGCACTTACATACATGCAGGCAATATACTCATACACATAAATCATCAAAAACAAAAGACTAAATATAATATGACTATATTGAAAAGTTGATATATTTTTTAAAGGCAGAGTAGTTTGATACATATAATTTAAAATTGGAGCACCCTAACTCCTCACCACTACAAAAGCTGGAATTACAATCTAACATGCTGAAAAGCATACATGACACAGATGTACACACACTGCAGTGAACCCTAGAAGATCTGAATTTTCTCAGGAAGCTTGAATTCAATTTTGCAGACCTCCCACACCCTTGTGCAAACACAAGCCAATAGAACACTACTGGGAAGTTGAAAGACACAAGATCTCCACATTCTCGAGTGCCCGTTAACATGAAATAGTTAGCAGTAAATCAGTTAAATTAATCCCTAACTGTGTTTTGGTGAAAAACACGCATTTAAGGAGTTATGAAAGGAAAATAATTATGATGGCAGAGAAGCAGACAGTTCAAATCACTAATTATTTTACCTAAGGAATGTGAAACTGGCAGGTTTCTGGGATGAATTTTCTAAAACGATGTGAACCTGTTTCTTTGGGAATATGCCATATGACAGTAGAAATAACCAGTCATGTGTCCCCCCAAATCAGTATTCTTTGACAAGAAAGAGAGAGCATTTTGAAACATAGTATGGGTAATGTCTGTCAAAGAGAACCTTCTGACAGACATTAAAATAAGAAAAAAGGAAAAGAAGAAAAATCCAAGAATATTAACTAAGTGCTGTCACTTGGACCCAAGATCCATATGTTAAAGGCTCCTACTTTTGCACTATAGGGAAGTGGAACTTGTGGGACACGGAGCCTAGTGAGAAGTCTTTAGGCCACTGGGTATACGACCTCATTGTGAGAACTCTCTTTCACTTCTCAGCCATGGGGGGTGAGAGGTTCTGCTCTGCAACACATGGCTTCCATCATGTGCTGCTTTGCTCAAAGCAATGGGGCCAGGTAGCCATGGACCGCAACCTCTGAAACTGTGAGCCAAAACAAACACTTCTCTCTGTAAGTTAATTACCTCAGGTATTTATTAATTACCTCGGGTATTTATTAAATAACAGAGTTGATCAACACAAAGAGAAAGAAACTAACATTAAAACAAAACTCATTAGTTAATACCCAAACTCATTAGCTGATACAGAAAGGGACTCCATACATGTTATCAGTGCCACAGAAGCGCTATGAGAATGTGAGTTTTAAATGCAAAAACAAAGAAACTAACATACAGAGAGGGAAAATAAAATTCCTAGAGGCACAGAGCTAGCAAATGGTGGTGGACTAGATTTTGGGAAGTAGTCTGCACTCATTCTGTGTGCACCCCAGGCCTGTACCCCTTCCACCCCCTCTGAGATGCCCTTTGCACCAGGAGCTGGTGAGGTGCAGAAAGTCTCTCTCTTGCTATTGAGAATGCCCCCCAAATAAGAAACAATACTGAGCAGAGCTTACAGGCCTGTAAGTGCTACCCAAGTTTATCCAGTCAGGATGGACTAGAAAGTTTGGTCAGATCTATAAACTAATTTTTAAAACACTAGTAAAATGGGCAAAATACAAAGATAACTAGTTTTACTGAAGTACATGTGTGTATGTGTATGGTGCGGGGGACTGAACCCAGGGTTGGACATGCTAGGTGAGTGCTCTACAACTAAGCTACAATCTTAGCGCTGGTTTCAGTAAGTTCTAAGCATATAATTAAGGATCATCAAGTACATTTTCACTGCTGAACAACCACCACCAGCATCTATCTGTAACTTTTTCCTCCAGGACTCCGTACTGATAACTCTATATCCCACCTCCCAAGACTCTGGAAAAACCCCCATTCTGCCCTCCTTCTCTGAGCTTGATTTCTCTAGGAACTTCATGCCTAGAATAATGCAGTACTTTTTTTAAAAAGTAATTAATTTTGTTCTTTGATAATTTTACACATGTGCATCATGCAATCTAATTATCCATCCCGCCTGCTCCTCCCTCCCTCCCCGGTCAGGCCCCTCCTCTCTTCAGTACTTGTCTTTCTACTCTGACGGACTGGCAAAGCATTTTCTATAGACCTTTTCCATATAAAAATGTGATGCACACAAGGAAACTTAAGCTTTCCAGTCAGGAAAAGCTTGATTTTATAAGCCTTTTCACTTAATCCTTTTGGAATTTCAGACTTCAGGAAATAAAACAAAAACAAAAACCAAAAAAACATGATCAGGCTCATCCCATACTCTCTACATCAGACACAGAAGCATCTAAGTAAACCCAACCAATCAGGAATAAACTGAGAGAGCCTGTCTCCATACGAGGGGCCCAAACAGCTTGTAAGTGAAGGCTAACAGTACACTACACCTGTCAGATTTTCATGCATTTGCTTATAATAAAACTGTCAGTTAAAAAAAGTAGTTTTTATTTAATGTGTATGAGTATATTGCCTGCATGTATGTAAGTTGTACCCATGTCATGCAATGCCTGTGGAGATCAGAAGAGGGCAATGGATTCCCCAGAACTGGAGTTACTACAGGCGGTTGTTAGCTGCCTTGTGAGTGGCTGGGAATTGAACCTGGGTCCTCTCCAAGAGCAGCCAGTGTTCTTAACCACTGAGTCATTTCTCCAGCCCCTACTGTCAGTTTTAATAAATAATTATAGTATATCAGAGTTTAACATCAAATAGGATATACAGAAGTCCTTTCACATTAACCACTGGATAGGGCTGTTTCCTATGTTTAAAAACTCAGAGAAGTCCAAACAGTGTGCAGTTTTGCTGGCTACTGTGAGTGAGGTAATGGGAGGACAGATGGGAGGGGAGAATAGGTAAACAGAAGGAAGGAAAGGAGAGATCAGATGGGGGAGTGGATGGCTAACTGCTGCTACTCCAGCATCCAAAGGGCAGGCCCGGCCCCAGACAGTGACCTCAGCCTGCAGCTGTGCGGAGGCTTCTGATCTGTTTACTGAGCTGTAGTAGTCCAGAACAGCTGGCCTACCAGCCTCACTCACACAAATGGCTTCAGTTTGAACCAATTCGCCTGGGTCCTTAAGGAAACACTGATTTGGCAGAGAGACTCTTGAACTATTTTTTTTTAAAGGATGTTCATGTAAACGTTTTAGTAAGGGCTCTCAGAGTACACCTGGTCTGCTGGGGCATACTTTATATTTACGGTGGAGAAATAAAGACTTCATCCCACAAATTTAGGCTGTGGATTTCCCCCATTTTTTCATGGTATGTAGGGTTCCAGGGCCACCTGTGCTGCCTCCTGACCTGAACTTAGTTGCTCTCTTCTTGTTTCTTTGCCAGAGTTCCAACTGCTTTCAGTTCATTTGACAAGCAACAAAGCCAAAACCAAACACAAAGTCTTTCAAGATTGGGAATGAGTAAATGTGGTCTTTCCCCATACTGACTGGAGAAGCTGATTTATTAAAGAAGTTACTACATGAATAGAAAAATCTACCAAATCAAAGGCATCCTATGTCCTTGTCTTTTTGTTTTGGGTTTTTGTTGTTGTTTGTTTTTTAAAGACAGGGTCTCCCAGTAGCTCCAGGTCCTGGAATTTGCGATGTAGACCAGGCTGGCCTCGTGAGATCAACCTGCTTTGCCTCCCAAGTTCTTGTATTAAAGGCATGTGGTACTATGCCCAGCATGTTTTTGTTTGAGGCAGGATCTTACTATATATCCCCAGCTGCCCTGGAACTCACTATGTAGACCATCCCAGGCTGGTCCCAGTCTCACAGAGATCCTCTTGCCTCTGCCTCCTAAGTACTGGGATTTTATGTCCTTGCTTTAATCATTCTATTAGCTGAGTTTTAAAGCACCGGTATGATTAAGCACAGCAAAAGATCACTGTAGGAGAGCTTCATAGTGGGTCTGGAGAGATGGCTCAGCAGTGAAGAGCACTGGCTGCTC